AACTTCACCCCTTGGCCTTGGCCTTCCCATAGAACATGAGCACTTAGCCTGACCTGGACCCACAGTCTCTGCCCCCTCAGCATCCTCATCCTTCCATGGAGCCCAAACTCTGGGACCTGAATGGTCCTTGCTCACAGGGATGGTGGTCTTGGGAGTCTCTGTCCCCCTACAGCCATGTTTCCCTCAGGCACACCCCAAGATCACCAGATGTGTCTGAATGCTGTCCACACCTACACTGCCAACTTCACTTTTCTCCTGCGTCCCAGATGAGCCGGAGAGCATGAATCAAGTGTCCAGGCATTCCACACACTTAGGCCAGCTCTGCTCCCCAAAATGTGTAAGTCCTCAAGGGCAGCATTAGCCAACTGGACAGAATATGTGAGTTCTAGTCAAGATACACTGTTACACAAACATGGCTCTTCACATAATGTGTAAGGCCAGAGAAAAATAAAATTTTGTCTTATTTTTTGACAATGCCAAGAGCACTTTTTAAATAGTAAATATTCACCTAAAATCTATTTTGTTTCATGGTACTGGGTTGAATCCAGGGCCTCACACATGCTAGGCAAGTGCTCGGCCACTGAGCTACATCCCCAGCCTTTTTAAAATTTCATTTGGGACAGGGTCTCCCTAACCTGGTCTTGGGCTTGCCGTCCTCCTGCCTCAGCCTCCTAAGTAGCAGACATGGTAAGTGTGAGTGCACTGCCACGCCTGGCCAAACATTCACTTTAGCACATTTATGGGTGTGCCACAATGCGTTTTTCACTTCTTATTGGGCATGCAGGTTATTTATTGATTTTTTTATTGTTATAAGGGCACCGCTGATATCTATTCTCTTGCCATAGCTCACTTGATTTCTTTAGGGTAGATTTCCGGAAATGCAATTGCCGAACCAAAGGCTATAGATTGTTTTCTCCTTCTTTGCACACATTACCAAATTGTTTTCAGAAATATTCCTCATGTTCCGTCCTTTACCAAGAATATGGAAGGGGGCGCCAGGTGTGGTGGTGCAGCCCTGTAATCCCAGCACTCTGCAAGGCTGAGGCAAGAGGATCACAAGTTTGAACCCAGCCTGGGCCACGTAACAAGACCCTGTCTCATATTTTTTAAAAATTAAAAGGACTGGGGATATAGCCCAGCGTGAAGGTCCTAGGTTCAGCTTCTAGTACTGAAAAAAAAAGTGAAAAGGTAGATTTTATTCAACTTCTCCAGAACTGACCATTATGTGTTTAGGTTTTCCTTAACTGTTACCTGCTTAGTATAAAAAAATGTTTCTTATTGTTTTGCATTTATTACTAAGAGGGTTAAACTATTTTGTTATGATTATTACCTACTGTGTGCACACCAAGATTCTATGTCCACTGTTGATTTTCCATATTGTTATTATTGAGATTTTTTTTTCCTATTGAATTGCAAGATTAATTTCAAGATTACTTTTGAATATAGCATACTGTTGGATTATGTTTTTTGATCCATTCTGCCAATCTGTATCTTTTGATTGGGGAACTGAGACCATTCACATTGAGAGTTATTACTGAAAGGTACTGGCTTATTTCTATCATTGCATTATTTTCCTGCTGGTGATTCCTTTTTTCCCCTTCTGCTTAACTGCTCATCCTACCTAGTGTATTGATTCCATTAGACTTTTTGGTATTGTTGGCTTCATTGTCTCTTTCAGAATTTTTCTGGAGTGCTGCTTTGCTGATCATGAATTTCTTAATTTGCTCTTTTTCGTGGAAAGAGTTTATTTCTCCATCAATCTTGGAAAATAATTTTCCAGAATATATCAGTCTAGATTGAACATTGTTTTCTTTTAGTCCTTGAAACATTTCACTCCAAGCTTTCCTGGCCTTTGAGATCCATCAACCATAATTCTAATGGGATTATCTTTATAACTGATTTATTGCTTTTCTTTAACAGCTTTTAAAATTTTGTCCTTGTGTTGGACTCCTGGGATTTTAACTATAATGTGTCATGGAGAAGTTCTTTTTTGATTGTGGCTATTTGGAGTTCTATATGTCTTGGTGATTTGTATGTTAAATTATTTCCCAATATTTAGAAATTTTTCTGCTATCATTTCTGTAAATGGGATTTTTATGTCATTTGTGCTGCCTTCTCATTTTTCACTATTTCCCATTAATCTTAGATTTGTCTGCTTTTTGTCATCTAGTAGCTAGTGTATCCATTTTTCATATTCTCTTACTATTTTTAAGGTATCTCTAAGTATATGGCTACTTACATCAGCCCTATATTTTACTTCTCTCCTCCCACTGGTCACATGCCATACCTTCAACATAAATTTTTATCTTCTGGATTTCTTTTGGGTACTTTTTCATGGACTCTAATTCTTTGCTAAACTGGTCATTCATGTTTTGTACCATTTTGTTTTTCTCAGCTGCTTTTTATTAGTGTCTTCTGTAAACAGCTGATTATTTTATTAAGTTCATTATCTATGTAGTTATATCTTCTTTGAGCTTCCCAAACATCTTGTTGATCTGGGGATTTTTTGTTGCCTTGTCTTCTCGTGGTTTCTTTCTTTCTTTCTTCCTTCCCACTCAGGTTTGCAGGATGATTGTAGTGGGTAGATTTTGGTGCTAGTATGAAGGGCTCTTTAATTACTGGCTGCTTTTCAGGGATGCACTGTTACTATAGGCCTTTACCTCTGTTCCAAGATCCAAATACCTGTTAATTTGGGAGAGGAGGATGCAGTGTAATTAACCCAACATGCAGCTCTCCAGAAACAAACAAAAATATTGTTGATGACACGGGACAAACCAGATATTGGCATACAGTAAGCAACAACTAAGCCACCCTGGCAATAGCAATGTAAATAGCAACAATAATAGAATCAAATACAAACTGAATAACTGATATACCATAAGAGTCAATAAAAGCTACCACTGTCCACTCTTTTTTTTTTTTTGGTACCAGGGATCGAACTCGGGACCTTGTGCTTGCGAGGTAGGCACCAGAGCCACTGAGCTAAATCTCCAGCCCACTGTCCACTCTTAACCATAGAAAAGGGATCCATAATTTTAATATAGACACAAAGACAAACTAAATATTGAGATATACTAAATATCTACTAAATGCAACTATCATACCACCATTAACAACAGAAAAGAGGGCCGGGGATTTATCTCAGTGGTTCTGCCGCCTGCCTTGCAAGCAGAAGGACCCAAGTTCGATCCTCGGTACCAAAAAAAAACAAAACAGAAAAGAGTTCAACAATCATAGCACAGAGCAGTGCTCCCCACCTTCCAGAGGCCCCTCTGTCCATACACCCCAGGCTGTGGCAACTTTCCAAGCTGAGGCAAATTCCTGCTCACGTTGGTAGATGAGGCAGTCAGACAGACCACTGAGTTCTGTGCTAGGCGTAGGCAGCAGGGTGGAGTTTCAAGCAGACCTTGAGACACAGTCCCAGCACTTTCAGACTCAGCCTCCTGAAAGCCACACATGACCAGCCTGGCTTCTCACCGTGGAGGCCAGGATCCCCATGACCTTCCCAGGCAAGCTGAGACTTCTCAGGCTGGGTCTATGTCTAGCCCCCACCATCCTCATGACTGTCCCTTGTAGCTGTCTCCCATTCTGACAGTGTGGTAGGATGAAATGAGACACCCTGCAATATAGTGGTTCTGTTGCTGTTCTGTAGCTCAATCTTAAACAATTAATCCCTTCCCAAAGTGGTTCCTGATTAAACCCTCTCAAGTATCCTGGCTGTTGCACTGGATTTCTTCTCCATTTCTAGCCTGCCATACAGAGGGAGTTGCTTTCAGAATAGTACCTCACACTGCTTGTGCAGTTTGCAATATCCCTGGGCTTTTCTTGGAGTGGTGCTGCCAACCCAGTCTACTGCTTCTCCCTGGAGCTGCTAACCCTCTCAAGCCTTACCTTGTGTCAGTGTAGACAGGGCCCCCTCCCCAGGAGCCAAGATCGGCTCCCCCAGGCTGCTGTGCTGTGCCTCATTACGCCGGCTTCTCTGGGGCTTCTAGTTTTTCTGTCAGCTCCCTCCTATTCCCAAAGATCTTTTTCCCTTCATCAAGTGGTTGTTTTTCAGGTATCTAGAGTCCAGATCCCAGAGAGAGGTTGTATTTTGCTTCCAGTCTCTACTCCACCTTTTTTTCAAGCGAAGTTATTATCATGATGTCTTTTACCTTTTCAGTTTTTTTAGCACATTCAATTCACAGATACTTGAATAACATATTAAAATAAATCATTTCCTTTATGATTTCTTCTGTTGTTTTATGTTTAACAGGGTTTTCCTTGTTTCTTTGTAATTTTTAAAACACTGTTTTTGCATTTTTAGGTAGTAAAGAATGTTCTCTATCATGGTGGTTTTTCTTGGTATTATGCTTAAAAACACTTTCTCCTCAGGATCTGATAAAATAATTACACATTCTCATAGTTCTTTTATAGTTTCATTTTTATGGCAAGATCTTCTTGAATAAGTTAAAATTAATAACATTGTATTATTAAAATAGCATTTGTGATTGAGATAATACTCTTAAGTGAAATAAACAGGACACACATGTGTAAATACCAAATAGTTTCTCTTATGTGAGAAACTGAAAGTGTAAATAAGGATCAAAAGGCATAATAGATAATGTGAAATAGGAAGAAAAGGTCCAAAGGGAAAGGGGAAGTAGGAGAGGTTGGAAAAAGGAAAGAAGGAATGGAATTAATATGAGAAAAGGAAAAAATGGAAACAAAGTCTTTGTAAATAGGGAGGGATGGAGGAGTTGAAGGGAGGGCAGGGGAAGGGGGAAAAATAAGAACCAAGATATATTATGTAAAGGTACAAGTTCCCAAAGATAAATGTAAATGTATTGTATGCCTAAAATGTACCAATAAAAGAATTTAAGAAAGAAAAAAAAAAGAAACAAAGTCTTTGTAAATAGGGAGGGGTAGAGGGGTTGAAGGGAGGGCAGGGGAATGGGGAAAAATAAGAACCAAGATACATCATGTAAAAGTACAAATTTCCAATGATGAATGTCATTACATTGTACACCTAAAATGCACCAATAAAAATAATAAAATAAAATAAATAAAAATAAAACACCATTTGAGAGATATATATGTATATAGAGAGACATTTAGGGAAGATGTGTTAGTAAATAAACAAGAAATGACATGCAATCCCAATAATGAGATTATTTAAACAACCCTTCAGCCCCTTTAGCATTGTGTAGTTAACATCACATATTGTTTTAATTTTTTACAAAGAATCTCCTTGGGGCCTCTCAGTGTCCTCAGGCATTCTTATTTTAGTTCACCAAGCCCTTCTTAAACTCAGTCCCTTCACTTCTTTAACTGCATCTCTCGCCACTAGGTAGCTCTGCATCAGACCTGACCCATTAATACTCCCTGATACTTTAATCTTTGAAAGAAGCATGTCCTCTCTCCAGGTGCTGTTTCTCAACCTTGGAACCATTGACACTGGCCTAGACAGTGTCTGTGGGGAGCTGCTCTGTACATTCTAGAATACGTAACGGCATCCTTCCTTAGTCTGTACCTACAGGATGGCAAGGGCACTTCTCTCCCCTCCCCACATTGGCAGGTGTCTGGGGTGGGGTGGGGGTTTGGATTTCACATCATTATAGCATACCTAAGGCAATTAACTTACACAGAGCAAAGGTTTATTTTGGTTCACAGTACTGGAGCTTCCAGTTCGAGATTGGATGAACCCACTGCTTTGGGCCTCTGGCCAGGGCAGCACATCCTGGTGGAAGCACCTCACGGTGCAGACAGCTTCTATCATGAGCCAGGAAGCAGTGTAAGAGAGGACTGGGGTCCTGCAATCTTCCTTGGGAACACAGCCCCAAGGACCTAAGAATTGCTTATTAGACTCTGGTCCCTACTACCTCCCAAGAGTGCCACCTTGGGGACCAAGGTTTTTGGGGAGTGGGAGAGGTCTGAACCAACCCAGCACCTTGCACATGGTAGGCAAGTGCTCTACCTCTGACCTACATTCTTGGTCCAGAACAAAGCTTTTAACACATGGACCTTTAGGAACACTACCTATACTCAAACCATGGCAGAGAGGAAAGATGGAAGAGGGAGGGGTCAGCCACTCCCTGGCCACCACTATTCTGCTGTGACATGTATGCCACCCACCCTCGGGATTTCTGCAACCTGCATCATTCCTACTCATCCTCAAAGATTCAGGTCAAGCCTTACTGCTGCCTAAAATTATTCCCTGGTCTTCTCAGGTAAGCAAGGTGCATCAACAGTCCCACAACATTGGGCGCAAGCTCCTTCCCCCTTTTCACTCATGTTACATTGGTTTATACTCTTGGAGATTGTCTCCCTGCTGGACTATGAGCTCCCCTAAAGGTCTGCATCCTCCATACATGGTACCTGGTGATCTTTGACTCTCTTCTCCAAAAATTATTTTGAAAAATGTTATTATGATGGTATTTAGAAGGTGGTTAGGCTATGGAGACACCTCATGAATGGGTTAAGTCTCTAATCAAGAGAGTGAGTTCATTACCACAGAAATATGTCAGTTGTGAAAGAAGGAAGTGCAGCCCCCTTTGTTCTCTCTTGCATGCTCTGCTGCTGGCTGATGCCTTTGCTGTGTTCTGATGCAGCCAGAAGGCCCTCACCAGATATCTGCCAGATGATTTTTCCAGCCTTCAGAATATAAGAAATAAGGGCCAGGGATTTAGCTCAGTGGTTCTGGCTCCTGCCTCGCAAGCTCAAGGTTCGATCCCTGGAAAAAGAAAAAGAAGAATATAAGAAATAATTGTTTTTATAAATTACCCAGTCTGTGGCATCTGTTATAATAGCAGAAAATGTACTAAGACATAGAATATATGCCAAATTCCTGTACACAAGCAGCCTGTGGCAATGCTCTTATGAAATGTTGTCCATCTGTATATGAGAGGTGAGATACAGGGAGTGAAACACTGGCAGTTTCTAGGCCCTACAGGACATGTATTCTGAGCAGCCTCAGGGCCACAACATGAAAACCTCATGTCTGCATCCTGTTCTTGTGAAGACAAAATCCTCTAGAGATCTGTAAATCGAATTCGGTCACCATCAGTATGTTTCTACAGCCAGGCCACTTCCTATTCATCCAGCTCCATCCATAAGACCCAGGGGTGATAAGGCCTTCCCTCCACCATAGGTAACGAAAGAGACTGCATACCAATCAACTACTAGAAAAACAGAATAATTCACTCAAAAGTTGCTTGTAAGAATGGACCTTCTGTTAGCAGGTACTATGGTTTGGGTCTTAAATCTTCCCCACCAAGTGTGAGGAGGTAGAATCTTTGAGAGCTGAGTCCTAGTGGGGGAAGCTAGTTGTGTGAGGTGAGCCCACAAAGGGGATGTTGGGACCCCAGCCCCCTCCTCTCTCTCACTTTGCCTCCTTGCTGCCATGAGGTGAACAGATCTCCTGTGCCTTGTGCTCTCTGCCATGATGTACTGGGCCACCTCGGGCCCAAAGCAATGGGTCCAGATGATCATGGACCGCAACCTCTGAAATCATAAACCAAAATAAATCTTTCCTTTGTGTAAGTTGATTATCTCTATTAATTTGTCATAGCAATGAGAGCTGAGCAATACAACACAGCAAGGAAACTTCATTGCTTCAAGCCTGGTATGATGGCATTCCTTGAAATCAGTTGTTATCAAAGGTCCATGAAATGTGTGAACATTCCTTCCTGTGCCTGGTGTGAGCAATTGCCTTGGACTTCATACTATATATGGGCTTCTAGGGAGCTGACATTAGCACTGTACAGAAGGAAAGTGGGGCCCACAAGGTTCTGTGTTTAAAGATACCAACCCAGTGCCACCCATGCCAAACAAGTAGCTATCATGCTTCTAACACTCAGGGAGCCAGTGCATACTTGAAGACCATGTATGTTAGTCAGCTTTCCATTACCGTAACAAAATACCTGAGAAAAACTTAGAAGAGGAAAGGCCAGCAGGGTGTGGTCACACATGCCTGTAATCTCAGCACTCTGGGAAGCTGAGGCAGGAGAATCACAAGTTGAAGTCCAGCCGAGACATCTCAGTGACTTAGCAAGATTCTGTCTCAAAATATAAAAATAAAAAGGGGCTGAGGATACAGGTCAGCAAAGCCCCTAGGACCCTAGTACGACCAGGAAAAAAACAGAGAGAGAGAAAAGGCTTATATTGGCTCACAGATTTGAAGCTTCATTCCTCATCAGTTAGCCCTATTGCTTTTGAGCCTGCAGAGAGGTAGCCTACCATGGCAGGAGTAAGTGGTAAATGAAGCCACTCATCTCATGGTGGCCGAGAAGCAAAGAGTGGCAGAAGCAGAGACCGGAATCCACAGTCATCTTCATGGGCACACGCCCAATAACCTAACTTCCTTCCACTAGGCCCCACCTCCCAAAGGCTCCACCCCTTCCGGTTGCATAATGAAGTGAAGATCAAGACTCTAAACACACGAGTCTTTGAGGGCTCATGCCATGGCACTGTGCTTAAGATCCAGTACAGCCAGAGACATTTCCTTTACAAGCCAATAAAAATACTTTTTAGTTGTTATTAGAAATCTGAATTTAATAGTATTTTTCCCCAAGAGGGTAAAAGCAATCTTAGTATTTGACAGGGAATGGGAAAAGCAGGAAACAGAGACACTGACAAGACTTTTTCTGTCCCTTTCATTGTATTAAGATTTTTAATGGAAAACAAAGGCATAAAGCATTCATGCAAGTCAAAATGTTTAGAGAAAGACTCTATAATAATCATGAATTGAACAGTTTAGTTCTCTAGACTATGTCAGCATTTGGACTGTTTTAAACAGGTACATCTTTTATTGATAACAACTAAATGATCTTTGTGGCATGTTGATTGTGTAGTAAATTCCATTCATTTGCTTTTTTAAAAAATCAAGTTATCCTATATATAAATATATGCTTTCAATATACTCCTCTGTTGTCCTTGTAGATATATTATTCAAATGCATTGAACTATTTATTTATTTATGATACTGGGGGTGGAATCCAGGACCTCCTGAATGTTAAGCAGGTGTTCTATTGCTGAGCCACCTCTCCAACTGTGTGTGTGTGTGTGTGTGTGTGTGTGTGTGTGTGAGACTAGTGATTGAATCCAGTGCCTTCACACTGAGCTACACCCACAGCCCCCTTTTATATATTTTTTTTATTTTGAGACAAGCTCACTTGTTTCCCAGGCTGGGCTGGAACTTGCCATCCTCCTGCCTCAGCCTTCCAGAGTGCTAAGATTACAGGTATGCACTACCACATCTGGCTTTTGACTATTTTTAATGCTATATAAAGGCCAGGGAGTTATTTTATTGATAAACTGAACCCTGTGAAGTTTAGGACAGGACTTTGCAAACTGTAATGTGGATCCCAGTCACCTGGGGATTTTCTTCAAATGCAGATGTTGGCTTCAGCAGGGATCTGAGGGTCTGCACTTCTAATGAGCTACTGGCTTGGGGCCCTCCACACTGAGAGTGCTGGCTTACAGTCATCAAGCCCTCGTGCCTGGCATGTGGCCCTCTGGGTCTCCAAGTCATCCAGTTATAGTTCAGCTATGCTGCCTAAACTTTAACAAAGTAGCCATGAAACTCTTCATCCAAACTGGGACTTTTTTTAAGTGAAAGAGAATGCCATTAATGATTACCTGGCATAAAGCAGCCTGTCCAGGGTAAAGAGAGGCGTGTGGTTACTCTGGCTTAACAGAAGGAGAGATTACTTTCAAATGAACAAATTCATTTTTTTATTTTTTTAAAAAAACACCTATTGACAGAAAGTGCAGCATTTACTCCAAGAGGAAGTTAATCATGAATATTTTGCAATTGCTAGAGATGTTTGGAAAGCAGTAAATAAAGAGCAAGGATAAGAGGGATAGATTTAATTTATGTAGCTGTTCAAAAAGCTATTGATAAGGTTCTCCAGGAGAAGCTGATAAAGATGAGTCACAGAGGATGGAAGGAGTGTTTCCTGGTGATAGGAAACTGACTTAGAACGAAACAAAGGGAGGGGTGAACAGGCACTTATCTAGGTGAGGTGGGAGGCTGCCAGTGCATCCCTGGGGAGGAAGGAGAAAGGAGGTTGACAGGAGGGGCCGCACAAGGCAAGGGCGTGCACCACCTCCCAGGAAGGAAACAAGTGTGTATGAAAAGGCGGATTCGAGGTGTTCCCATTAAGGAGCGGGCGAATGGGAGACTGGAATACATGCAGATGAGATGGCAAGCCTTGAATAGGACCAGACTTTTCTACTTACAGGAAAACTAACTTCAAGGCAAATGCCATTAAGCATAAAGTTCTTAGGTTGTCAGTTTGGGTGACTGTTGGGGCAAAGTGAGTGACTAAAGGAAAATATACTCTGCGGAAATTGCAATGGGATAGTACGGTTTAAACCGTTTAAACCAGAGGCTGCCTGTCACCATAGCCCAGGGAGGGTCTACCTCCCTAGCCACCAAGACCTACACTCCAGCTTTGATCTGCGGAATCAAAGACCTAGGCCTAGGCCTATGGGAGGGGCTCAAACATCGGCGCTGGGGGAGTAGGGGTTTGAGGACGTCCTGCTGGAGGTGCTGCTACACAACTAAGACTGAATGCTGTAAGATAACAGTGAGAACAATGGAAAATGAAGGTGGGTGCAGGATATTGCTCAGTGTCAGAGAAAGTACTTTGCATGTGTGAATCCCTGAGATGGATAGATCCCAGCAGAGAAACAGAGAGAGAGAGACAGAGAGACAGAGAGAGAAACAGAGAGACAGAGACAGAGAGAGACAGAGAGAGAGGAGGAGGAGGGCGACAAGGGGAAGAAGGAAGGAAAGGGAAAGAGAGAGAGAGGGTGAGAGAGGGAGGGAGGGAAAGAAAGAAAGAAAAAGAAGGAAGGAAAGAAAGAAAGAAAGAAAGAAAGAAAGAAAGAAAGAAAGAAAGAAAGAAAGAAAGAAAGAAAGAAAGAAAAATATATGTTAAGCAGGAAGAAGAGTTTTCAGTTAGTGGATGGAAGCTTACAGCGTGGTGCATAATTCTTGTCCTTGCGCTTGCACAGCAGGCACCAGAACCACTGAGCTAAATCCCCGGCTCTTCATAATTCTTATCTATTCATTGTTCTTCAACACTGTATTGAGGAATGGAATGTAAATACAAATCACTGCAAAAACACAAATATACAGCTCAGTGAATCATATAAAGTGACACCTGTGCAACTCCATTCAAGCCAAGAAATACTGGGCCAAGGGCTTGCACACACCTGTAATCCCAGCACTCCGGGAGCCTGAGGCAGGAGGATTATAATTTTGACCCCAGCCTGGTCAATATAAAAAATAAAGGCCTGGGGATGTAGCTTAGTGTGAAGACTCTGGGCTCCATCCCAAATACCACAAAAAAAGGAAAGAAAAGAAATAACACTGTTCCCAGCACACAAGTGCTCTAGCGCTCTTTCCACCCTGTAATCTCCCTCCTGTCTTCAAAGAATCAATTCCTTTTTTTGCCTGAGAGTTTCACCATGCCAAGAGGCCCCCTGAACAAGACACTCTCATTTTCCATGCTTTTAAACTTTATAGAAAGAGAATTCGTATATTAATGGGGGCATGCATTCTTTTATGTCCACTTTCTTTCTTTCTTTGCTTGTAGTAGTTGCGCCCTTTCATTCTCAATACTGTAGAACAGGGCCCAGAAAACTGTGGTCCCCTGGGCCAAATCCATCTTTTCCCGGGAACATGGTTATACCTATTTATGTCCATATTGTCTGTGGCTGCTTATGTACAACACCCGGGTTTAGTAGTTGTGCCATATGGCACAAAACAAGTTTGCCAAGCCTTGCTGTATAGTGTCCCATTGTATGAATATACCATAGTTTAATCACCCATTCCCTTATTGATGGACATCCAGATGGCTTCCAGTCTGGAGTTATTAGAAGCATTGCTGGTATGAACACTGATGTGTATGATGCCCGGTGCACATGACCATCCCCTTCATTAGGGTAAGTACTTAGGATTGGAACTGTCAGGTCATATAAAAGTCCACGTTTTAAAATTACAGGCACCGCCACCTGTTTTTACAAAATGATTTTACCATTTTTCTTTCGCTAGCAGTCTGTGAGAGGTCCAGTGGCTCCACATCTTCACAACACCAAGTATTATGTTTAGTGCTATTTTGTTTCATTTAGTGTTATTGTATTTGTTGACTCTTGGCTGCAGAATGGATTGCCTCAAGACTTAAAGGCTTAAAATCAGACACATTATCTCACATAGTTCCTTGGGTCAGGAACCTAGGAGTGGCTTATAGGATGGTTCTGGCTCTCTTGAGAGCTCAAAGTCCACATGTTGGCCAGGACCACAGCTGATAGAGCCCAGTCAGGGACACTGCCAGGTCTAATGAGCCCACCCACCATCTTAGAGAAATGTAGGTTTCATTTTACTTATGTCACAAAAGTCATCAGTAGGTCACAGAGGACACTTAACGGTCACAAGGGGTCCCCTGAGTTCATGTCAGAAGGTTACAGAGGATGCATCAGCAAGCCACAAGCCCACCACTTCTCTGACCGCCCCCCAAAAGCCCACACAAAACCACTATTTAAAAAGCCTCTTAGCCTGTAAGGGACTCCTACTCTGTTCTGCTTGCACAGAGAGGTCCCGCTCAGGTTAACACTAAAGCTGCTTGGACTGTTGAGTTTGGGACCATTCTTTCCCGCTCAGTGGTCATCCAAGGGTTCACTGGGCTAGAACATCTGCTTCCTGGGTCACCAATGTGGCTACCGGCCAGAGGCCTCAGCTACTCGCCCCACAGTGCTGTCCCCCCGTAAGATTTCCTGTAACATGACAGATAGTTTCTCCCAGTACAATTGATCTGAGAGAGCGGAGGGAGGGTGGGGGAGAGACCCAAGATGGCGGAGTGCCTTTGGGAGCAGCACACCAGTGTGGCTGATCACACAGGCCACCCTGGTGTGATGTAGGAAGGTAAGAACATCAAGGAGCAGCTCTCTGGGAGCCATCCTGAAGGTAGCGTCCAAATTCATTGTGGTTTTAATTGTTTTTTTCCTGACTATTCATATGTTGAGTATCTTTCCATTTTCAATGGCCATTAGAATCTCATCAGATTCCATTCTAGGACACAAGTGCTTCCAGGGCAGAATGGTGATTTAGTCAAGGATTGCATCTCATTCACTTTTGTGCAACTAACACAGGACCTTCACACAGTAAATGCTCAATAAATGCTTACTAAATATCTTTTCATAATTTGAATGGCTATTTATTGTGTATGCCAAGCAGCAGAATGACTGAATAAGCATTTATTTCTTAAACAAACATACACAATGTCCAATGACATACAAAGTCAAGATTAACCTACAGAATTAGAGTGAAATATTAAGGGCTAAAATTGTAGCATGGTATTCATCTAGCTCTAGGCCTACATTTCAATGACTCTTAGCATCCTTCAGGTTCAACAATTGAAGACCTATTTGTGATCCAAGCAAAGAAACACAAGATCCTTGAATGTTGAATGTCCTGCACTTACATACATCTCCCTGTTTCTCTCCTCTTCCCTCCCTCCCTCCTACCTCCTTCTCCTCTCTCTCTTCTCCTTCTTTTCCTCCTGTTCTCTACCTTTGCCTTCTCCTTCCTTCCCTCTGTTTTTCTCTTCAGTAAATTAGCCTGAAATAATTCATAGAGCGTAAGTAGGCATTTGTGATGTGAACGCCTAGAAATGTAATTTGATTGGGGGAAAAATAAGCTCACCAAAGTAGATGCAATTTTAGAGTCAGAGAGAATTCTGCATCTTGAAAAGACAGCCAAATTACACGGCTCCAGTCAGTGTGAGCTTTAGATTTCTGGTCAACTCAGCAGTTAAAATCCATTTCTTCTTGAAATACTTATAAGTTCTAAGACTTCCTTTCTTGCACAGGAAAAGGCAAAGGTAATTCCAGTTAAAGCCAAAACACAGCAGCAGGTTTGATGTTTAACTGCTCCCATCTTACTTTACAAGCAACTCTAGATTAAATATATTCTTTTTACATTTTAATAATACATTTAAAAAAAAAAGAAATAGGATCTCTTTGTTCACTTGCAAGAAGAATTTACAAGTGTGTCTTCGTTTCTTACCCCAGAGAAGGTATTAAAGGCAAATAAGTAGAGCTGCTTTGTGTGAAGTACATGCTGCTGTCCCACCCCAAGTGTTCAAGGCTCTGGGAATAAAGCTTGCCAGAAGGAAGCAATCCCAAATGCCTTTCAACCTGAAGGACTATTAGCACCATTTCTCTTTTATAACTCTGTGAATACAGTTATGAAGCAACAGTAGCAAGGTCAAAATTTTACCTAATACTCTATTTCACTTAGGGTAGCTTTCGGCTACAAGTAGATTAAAACTAGAAAATTAACCTCTCTCCCATAACAAAAGAGTGGAGCTGGGGTGGTCAGTTTGGCAGTCCAATAACATCACCAAGAGCTCCACTTTCTTCTAGTTTCCCTGATAGTTTTCAGCAAACTCCCCTCACGATCCAAGTTGTCTACCACAGTTTCAGCTGTTACCCACATCAGAATAGAGATCATTTCCTCCCCATGTGCCTCTCCTTTTTCATGAGAAAAATCATCCCAGATGTCCCTCGCACAATGTCCCGTGTTACACAACCTCTTGCCTAAGCCAATCACTGACAAAGGAATGGAGTGCAATGACCGCTTTGAACCAATCAGCACAGGTGCTCCTCAACCTACAGGATTATGTCCTGGTAAACCCATCAGAAATTGAAAATATCATAAGTTGGAACTGTATTTAATAAACATACTGCAGCTTAGCAACACAGTACACTGTGGAGCACCAGCTGTTTCCCTACTGATCACGTGGTTGATCAGAGAGTGCTCACTGCCACTGGCCAGGATCATAAGAAAGAACTGTACCGTGTACCCCTGTCCCAGAAGACATCAGAATCCAAGGTATCGTCTGTACTGACTACATATTGCTTTGGCACCTTCGGAAAGTCAAAAATGCCTAAGTCAAAGCATCACCAGTCAGAGACAGTCTATATGTTTGCTTCTGAGTCATGTAGGATGGAACTATTTTCCATGAACAATCGACTGCACAGAAAGAAAGAGAACACCTAAAATCAGAGCAGCCAGTAATGTCTACTGTGTACTGCTACTCAGGTGTGCAAAATATGGCTTTCTCATTTGTCTACAAATACCTTGCTCACATGCTCCTGTGTCACTGATGGCAGAGTAGAAAAATCGTAACTTCCAATTAAGGCAGCTTGGTCACTTTTAGTTCAGAAATTTTAGTTGTTTCTATTTTCTGAGGATAATTTTTTTTTTCTTTTTTCAGTAGTGGGGACAAAGCTCTAGGATACTCTACCATTGAGGTGTATCCCCAGCCTTTTTAAAATTTTTTTAAATTTTGAGACAGGGTCACTCAAAGTTGCCCAGACTAGATTCAAACTTGAGATCCCCCTGCTTCAGCTTCTATGGGTAAATATTTAACCCAATCTCTCTCTTTTTTGTTTTTTGGGGTTTTTTGGTACCAGGGATTGAACTCAGGACCTTGCACTTGCAAGGCAGGCAGGGGAACCACTGAGCTAAATCCCCAGCCCTATTTTTTGAAGTGTGGTTCCTCATTTTCCTTCTCAGGATGACATCAAAGAACACGGGGAAGCTGATGCTAGGGCCTGGTTCATGTACTCCTCATCCACTGTCTCCTCATTCAGTTCCTTCCACAGCAATGACTTCTGTCTTGCTGGGTCACTAAGGCTTCTCCTGGCCTCTGCTGCCGATTGGCACAGCTGGGAGAGCTCATGATCAGTTTGCCTACCTGGGGTGTACTCCTGGGCAGCTGAGCCAGCACCCTGTCCTGGGTGGATGCCACCTCCCCATTTGCTGGCTTTGTGGGTCTCTCCGGGACTTGATTGTGACGCCTGTTCAGTCACCCTGGGCCAGGCAATTTCTCCCATAGCCCTTGGCTACAGAGTCACTTTTCCCTTATAACAAAAAGATAGCCACCCCTTGGGATTTCATCCATGTCCTCCCTGGTGAGGGTGGAAGGCATGCTGGGGATGTTCCCAGCACTGGGAAACTGACTGCAACTCAAGCGACCAGCTCTACACCCGCCGTGTTCTTCCAAGGCAGCCCGAGAGTCATCTTCACCCAGAGCCACTTACAGGGCTGGGATCCCCAGCCCCACTGCTCTCTTATCCCCCAAATGCCTCTAGCTCTTTCTTGCACACCTCCCACCCCAGCCGGCAGGACTTTTGATCCAGAGAGGGGGAGAAAGGACACATTTATCTGACCCCTTGTCCTTCCTCTGTTTCTCTAACACCCAAAACCCCGGACCCAAAGGGAGCCAGTGTTGTACTCCGTTCTCTCTGTTCAGAGCTCCCCATTACGCAATCACTTTCTTTCCTCTCCTGTGGGCTTCTGTATTCTAACAGGCATTTATCCCTTATCTCTCCTGGGGAAAACCTTCTGAGCTTGCCTTAGTAATGAAAATGGTCACCCTTACCAGAGAAAATTAGCCAGATGGCCAAAAAAGAAAAAAACACTTTTACAAAATAACATGAGTATTTCTCAACATTTTTTACTCCATCAATCCAGCTGTCTAAGCCAAATGTGTGCTTTCCAATTTGAAAGAGGTAAAGTTTTGTTAAAGAAAATTACTTTCACAAACATATTTATTTATGGTGAGCATTCAAAGCGGTGACCCAGAAATACAGATTTCTTGTACGCCTGCTAGCAGGATTTGCTATTAATGAGCTTAGTTTAATGGACCGTTATAATACGTCCCTTACTGAGCATAGTAGCCCTTACCTACTATGTGTCAACATCTTACATCCATTGATTTAACTAATTTAATTCTAACCTGTAACCCATTAAGCACTCTTCATCTTGTATTTTAGTAAAGTTCAAAGAAGGTAAAGAATCCTCCCAAACTCACACCGTACGAAATCCAGATTCAAGTCCACATCTCTCTGTCTCCCTCCTCAGTAGAAGTGGTGCTGTGGCACCACTGAGGACACAGACTCTGGGATCTCAGCAACCTAGACTGTAGCTCCTGGGGCCACCTACTGTGTGACCTTGAACAAAGAAGGTCAGAGGACCTTTTCCTTTTTTTTTTTTTTTTTTTTTTTTACTGGACATTAGTGTATGTCTGATGAAATGTCTGCATAAGGCATTTATTTGTCTTTTTTTTGAGACAAGGTTTTTCTATGTAGTGCAGATTGGCCTTGAACTCACTATGTAGGCCAGGCTGGCCTCAAACTTACAGCAATCCTCCTGCTTCAGCCTCATGAGTGCTGGGATTATAGATGTGTGCCACCACACCTAGCCTAATGACCTTCTTAATCCTCAATTTTGTCATCTTTAAAAGGGAATAATAATGATTCACACATCATATGGCT